CAGCACCTCACCACTCTCTCTGTAAAGAATTTCCCCCTGACGTCCAACCTCAATCTCCCTTCCCTCAGCTTCAAACCATTTCCCCTTGTCCTGCACTTATCTCCCCTTTCCAAGAGTTGACTCCCCTCCTGTCTGTAGGCTCCCTTTGAAGGCTGCAATGATTCACCCTGCAGCTTCTCTTCTCCATGCTGAACAAGCCCAGCTCCCTCAGCCTGTCTTTGTAGTGGAGGTGCTGCAGCCCCTGCTCATCTCTATGGCCTCCTCTGGACCCTCTCCAACAGCTCCCTGTCTTTTTTGTCCTGGGGGCTCCAGACCTGGACGCAGAGCTGCAGATGGGGCCTCACAAGAGCAGAGTAGAGGGGAACAACCACCTCCCTGTCCCTGCTGGCCACCCCCCTTTTGATGGAGCCCAGCATGCCTTTTGCCTTCTGAGCCACAAGGGCACACTGCTGGCTCATGTTCAGTTTTTCATCCATCAAGACCCCCAGGTCCTTCTCCACAGGGCTGCTCTCAAGGCCCGCTCCTTCCAGTCTGCAGGGATGCCTGGGATTCCTCCGGCCCAAGTGCCAAACTCTGCACTTTGCTGTGTTGAAGCTCATCAGGTTCACCCTGGCCCACCTTCCCAGCCTCTCGAGGTCCCTCTGAATTCATCCCTTCCTTCCACCGTGTTGACCGCACCACTCAGCTCGGTGTCGTCAGCAAACCTGTCCCCACCTGTGGTCAGGACCCCACTCCTGTCCCCCTCCCCATCCATGTCCCAGGGTGGGTTTGCAGGACACGCGGCGTGCCTCAGGGACGGCCCTTCCCCACAGCCACACCACGCAGCACAGACGGGCACGGGTCTTTATTGCTCAGTGAGTGGGACTGCAGCCGTCCTCACATCCCGATGGGCTCCTCGAAGAGGAAGATGAGGGGCAGGAGCAGCAGCAGGTAGAAGAAGAAGACGTTGGCCTGGGACAGGTGATAGGCCAGGATGACGCACGCCAGCACCTCCAGCAGCACCTCGTTCACGTGGTGCAACTCCATGGTCCTTGTGAGTCCTGCAGGGATACGGGGTTGGAGGTGCTCCTGGGGGTACCCAGCACCGACCCCCCTGGCACCCACAGACCCGCTGGGGCCGGCACTCACTGCGCTCTGCTCCAGTCGGGGTCCCGGCACCAATCCTGTCCCCGCTGCATCCCTTCGGCTCGGCACCCTGATGGGACAGAGCGCGGGGCGATGTCACAACGGGGGTGTGGGGGTGAGCCGCCCCCTGGGAGGGGGCAGCCACGGAGCCTGGATTTCTTGGGACCGGGGTCACAGCGGGACCCCACAGCCGCGGTCACCTCACGTTAGGGCAGCAGGACAGCACCTGTGGGATGAGGGGATGTGCCCGGCTGGGAGCCGCTCAGTCACCGCATCGGATCCTCCGTGGCACCGCGGCGGTTTGGGCACGAGCCCCGCGGCCAGCAGGGGCTGCCGAAGTGTTTGCCTTGGCTGGCAGCCCTGAGCTCGGCTGTGGGCTGAGCTCCCAGCTGGGCAGTGTGGGCAGTGCGGGCAGAGAGGGCAGCGTGCCAGGGCACACGGCACAGGGCACACGGCACAGGACACACGGTACAGGACACAGGACACAGGACACACAGCACACACAGCACACGACACAGGACACACGACACAGGACACAGGACACACAGCACACGGCACAGGCACTCAGCGTAGGGACTGGGAATGATGGACGGATGGCGCGTGGCTCCCGGCCATTCCCACACGGAGCTCGCTTATAGGGCACCCCACAGGCACCGGGGCTCTGCAGGGTCTCACCAGCCCCACGGGAGCCGCAGACTCCAGCTGCCACCAGCGGGTCTGGGATGCGCCACCGGCTCCGAGCCCGCAGCCAAGGACGGGGCTCGGCCCCGCTCGGCGTCCCGGCGCCTTTAAGGGCCGGGGCTGGCAGCCGGCGGCGGTGCGGATGCGGCTGCTTGACCGCGGTCCAGCATCGTGTGGAAATCCATGAAATCCCTGCGAGCGCTGACTGGGGCGGAACGCGCCTCCGGAGCTGCGCTGTGTGCCGGGCACTCGGCTCCGGGCGCGGCGCCCAGCGGCCGTGCCAGGACGGCGCGGAGCGGTGCCAGGGCCGCAGAAACCTCGAAAGTGCCTTCACGTGGGGCTGAGTCACCGCCCTGCCGGCCCTTCGCACAGCCCTGCGCTGCGGGCGCTGCCTGCGAGCACAGCGAGCCCTTCCTGCCATCCGGCCAGATGGACGCAAATAAAGCCGTGTTCCTGCGCGCCAGATGTCGGTGTTGTGGGTGGGGGCATCCGGCATTCCCAGCCGTGCCCGGCGTTCAGCTTGTGCTGGGGGGAGCAGCACCACAGAGTGGGAGCGACACATCCCAACACATCCCAACGCATCCCAACACATCCCGACACATCCCAACACATCCCAACGCATCCCAACACATCCCAACACATCCCGACACATCCCAACATATCCCAACGCATCCCAACCCATCCCGACACATCCCGACACATCCCAACGCATCCCAACACATCCCAACGCATCCCAACACATCCCAACACATCCCGACCCATCCTGACACATCCTAACCAATCCCAACATATCCCAACCCATCCCAATACATCCCGACCCATCCTGACACATCCCAGCCCATCCCACTACATCCCATCCCAACACATCCCAACCCATCTCAACCCATCTCAACACATCCCAACCCATCCCACTACATCCCAACCCATCCCAACACATGCTATCCTGTCCCAACCCATCCCAACCCATACTAGCTCATCTCAAGACATGCCAACATATGCCACAACTCCCCAAACCATTCCATCCCAACCCATGCCAACACATGCCAAGTCATTCCATCCCATTCCATCCCAGCTCATCCCAACCCATGTCAACTCAACCCATGCCAACACCCCATGCCAAAACACCCCAACTCATTCCATCCCAACCCATTCCAAGCCATGCTAACCACCCCATCACCTCATCCCAACCCATCCCGATCATCCCGACCAACCCAACCTATGCTAACACATCCCAAACCATGCCACACATCTCAACCTGTCCCGTCCAACTCAACCCATGCCAGCACATCCCAACCCTTGCTAACCCATCCCAACCCATGCCAACACGTGCCAACACATGCCAAACCACCCCAATGCATTCCATCCCATCCCAACCCCTCCCAACCAACCAACTCATGCCAACTCAACCCAACCCATAGCAGCCCATCCCAACCATCCCAAATAATGTCAATCCAAGTCAATCCATCCCAGCCCATGTCAACCCATCCCCGCCTGTTCCAACCCTTTCCAGCCAACCCACCCACCCATGGGGTTCTTGGCCACACACGACCCCATTGCTGCTGGATACGGAGCTCCCACAGCCCTCACAGAACGGCCCAGGTTGGAAGGGATCTCAAGGATCATGAAGCTCCAACCCCCTGCCACATGCAGGGCCACCAACCTCCACATTTCATACCAGCCCAGGCTGCCCAGGGCCCCATCCAACCTGGCCCTGAACACCTCCAGGGATGGATGGGGCATCCACAGCCTCTCTGGGCAGCTGTTCCAGCACCTCACCACTCTCTCTGTAAAGAATTTCTCTCTGACATCCAACCTAAATCTCCACTCCCTCAGCTTCAAACCATCCCCTCGTCCTGCTGTCATCTCCCCTTCCCAAGAGCTGACCCCCCTCCTGTCTGTAGGCTCCCTTTAGGTGCTGAAGGCTGCAATGCTTCACCCCGCAGCTTCTCTTCTCCATGCTGAACAAGCCCAGCTCCCTCAGCCTGTCTTTGTAGGGGAGGTCTGCAGCCCCTGCTCATCTTGGTGGCTCCTCTGGACCCTCTCCAACAGCTCTCCTGGCCACCAAAGGGTGCTGTTGGCCACGAGGCCAGCAGGAGCCCAGCCCTGCCTCCCCCCTCGGCCCAGCCCAGCTGCTGGAGGCTGTGAGTCCTAATAAACCGCAAGAGAAGGTCAGGCCCAGGAATGGCCTTTAGGGTGGAAAATGAGGTCATGGGCAGATGGCGGCAGCGCAGCGGTGGCTCCTCAGAGAATCGTGCGTGGGGGCAGGACGGGGTTGGGGGTGCCAGGGCTTTGGGGGGGAGCTGGGATGGGGCAAGGGAAAACAAATGGGGCTGCAGTGAGGCACTGCAGCAACGCTCAGCTCCCTGCACAAACCGAGGGCTGGGGAAGGGTTGTGGGGAACCCCGGGTATCCTCTCACTCCCCCAGACCCACTTGAGGGCACAGGTAGGGGCAGTTTGTGTGCAGGCGCCCACCTCGGTGCCCAGCACGTGGGCTCTGCCCCACGTAGTGCCCAACTCCCCCCAGGTTCCCCTCCGCTGTGGCTCTGGGCTCCCCTGGGCACCGTGGTGCCCGGTTCCAGCATCTCAGCCGCCCCGTGGGTTTGTGCCACAATGGGGGCACGCGGGGGTGGCAGCAGGGGATGCACCCACAGCACGGCACGTCCACAGCCCCCCCTGCGTGCGGCGACCCCCATGGCCACCAATAAGGGGGGCACAGCGGCGCCCCGGGGGTCCCCACGCTCCAGGGCACAACATGGGGAGGGTCCCCCACACGTCCCCCAGCGTCCCCTGCTGCCAGGGCCGGGTCAGGGCGGTGGGGCGCTCAGCAGAGCTGGCCGTGGGGCTCAGCTCCACGCGTGGCCTCGTGGGTGCCCGGGCTCAGCCGGCAGCACCGGCGCGGTGCGATGAGCGGCCCCGTGCTCGGCCGTGGGGTCGGGGTGGGGGTCCTCGGGGTGTCCGGGTGCGGAGATGGAGCGGTCACCCCGCAGCCGGGGCGCACAGGGACGACGGAAGAGCGGCGGAGGAACGAGAAACGCCGACGGCGTCGATCCGGACCGGGAAGGGTTCGCGCGCAGAAGTGCTGTGTAATCAGAAACAGTTGTGGAAGGGCGGAACGAAACCCCGTGGAGAAAAGGAGCGGGGATCTGGGGCGCAGCTGGGGATGGGGCGGCCGCAGGAACGGGCGTCGCGCTGCCCCGCAGCCGCACGGAGCGGTGGGGTCCCCGGGGCGGGGGGCGGCGGCTCCATCGGCCCCCCCAGCGCCGAGCGGGCGGGGACTGGAGGAGAGCTCAGGAAAAGGGGTCCCGGGGCGGGGGTCCGTCAACGTGCTCCCTGTTTCCCCCCGATCCCCGCATTCCCGCATCGCTCCCCCCCTCAACCGCGGTCCGCTCCCCCCCTCGCCGCTCCGAGCCCCGCGCAGGGCCGGGTCCCGCAGGGCGCAGCGGGGTGGGGGGCGAGGAGGGGCGGAGGCGGGGACGGGGCGGGGGGGCCGCGAAGGGAGAGAGGGGAGGGCCGGGGCTGAGCGCTGAGCTGCGCTCCGTTCGTCCCGTCCCGTCCCGCCATGCCGCCCCCCCCCCTCGCTCTGCTGCTGCTCTTCGCCGCCGCCGCCGCCCCCCCGGCGCCCCCCGGCACCGCGCTCCGACCGGAGGCCGTGGGGATGGGCGGCCCCGGGGGCTCCGCTGCGACCACCCCGAGGGGCGCAGCCCCCCCAAAGGCCACCGCCACGGCCCCCCCGAGGAGCACGGCCCCCCCAAAGGGCTCCGCTGCGACCACCCCGAGGGGCGCAGCCCCCCCGAAAGGCACCGCCACGGCCCTCCCGCAGGGCACGGCGACGACCCCCACGAAAAAAACGGAGTGGGGGGGGCCGAGCAGCGCAGCCCCCACCCGAGGGGGGCCCGGGCCCAAAGGTAGGGGGAGATCTGGGGGGTGGGGGAGGGGAGAATGGGAGTGCAAATGTGTGTGTGTGTGCGTGAGCGTGAGCACAGCTGGGTGTGCACAATGTGTGTGTGTATGTGTGTGCGGGGGGGGTTTAAAGTGAGTGTGCACAGTGTGTGTGTGAGTGTGAGCAGGTGTGCAAATGAGTGTGAGTGCACCGTGTGTGTGTGCAGTGCCAAGGCTGCATTCCTTGGATGCTCTCTGTGCCCCGTCCTGCTGCCAGGCTGGGTGTGTGCACACACACTGTGTGTGTGTGTGTACGTGTGTGTGTGTGCACCTGGCTGCAGTGCTGCCCTGGTTTATGGTGAGGGGACGTCCCAGGGTGTCCCTGCGAGCTCCAGAGCCGTGTGTGTGCCCATGCGTGCACATCTGTGCGTGTGCACCTGGCTGCTGTGCATTCGTGTGGTTGGCACCGCCCCAGCTGAGCCCCCCTCCCCCAAAGCTTGGACCCACCTGAGGGCCAGCAGCCCCCCAGCCCCCCCTGCCCAGTCTGTGTGCCCACAGCCCCCGTGCCCAGAAAGAAGAAGCTGGTGAGGGTCAAAGTGGTGCGGAAGAAAGTGCTGAAGAAGAGACCCAAAGCTCCAGCCAAGAGCCCTCCTGCCCCCCAGG